TGTTTTATTAACCCCCCCTCCCCAAAAATTGATCCACAGACACAATCCTAGGGACAGTCATGATGTTCAGCGCTGTCCACGACGATGACAACTCGATGAAAAAACAATGACGATTTGATTACATTTTTAAAAATAAATAAAAATAATTTTTTTCAAGCACGACGCCCGCCTACCCATCAGCATGCGATGAACTTCCGAACATCTGAATTTCCGCTGCAGAATGGCATTCTGACAGATGCCGGCAAAAGATAAACATTTGGGTGGAGCTAGCATTGACATCACTGCTAGCTCTGCCCAACTGTTTACATTTGTCCATCACCTGACAGGTCCCGAACAAACTAAAAGACATAGGCGGAGCCAGCCGTGACATCACATGTAATGACAGCCCAATGTCCTCAGGGACGCTGGACTGTCATTTAAGGACAACAACTGAGCGGAACCAGGTGTGACATTATGGCTGGCTCCGCCCAGCTGTTTACATGTAATGGCAGCCCAGTGTCCTCGAAGACGCTGGGCTGTCATTGAAGGACAACAACTGGGCGGAGCCAGCCGTGACATTACGGCTGGCTCTGCCCAGATGTTTACATGTAATGACAGCCCAGTGTCCTCGAGGACGCTGGGCTGTCATTGAAAGAGAACAACTGTGCGGAGCAAGCCATGACACTACCACTTTTGCGAGGAGAGCGGTCGGCTTTGGCTGACCTTTCTCCCTGCTTCGGGTGTCACTATGGCTCAGCCGAGCCGAAGCAAATGCGTTCGGCTTGGCTGCCTTCGAGCCTTCGGCGACGGAAGCAAGCCGAAGGATCAGACGTAGCTACGGCTGGATCCTTCGGCTCTTTTATGAATAACCCTCTTAATGTTCCCCACCAATCCGAAACAAGAAAAATTGACTGGAGCTGGGCTTCATTTAGTTTGCAAGAAGTAAGGTATTTCATCCGGTTTAGGCTATTGCAGTGAATGCGTTAATGCAGTGAAAAGTAAAACATAACTATGTAGGTAAGTGGATAATTTTTTGGGTATAATTTAGCCTTCTAAAAGTCCAACGAATATGTTTACAATCTTTAGGAAGCTGGGAAGCTTCTGATCTCTCAGGGGGTTGTCCAGGATAATATTTCGGAGATCTTCCCCATGGCTACAACAAACTGAGCTTGGCTTTTCCACCAAGCCACCACCGCCATCAGCTTAGGTCCACCAATCCACCATTGCCATCAACTTAGGTCAACCAAGCCACCACTGCCATCAGCTTGGGTCCACCAAGACACTACTTCCATCAGCTTAGCCCAGCCAAGCCATCACTACCATCAGCTTAGGTCCACCAGCTTTGGTCTCACCTGTTCTCTTGTGAATCTAATTTTGGGTGGAATTGCTTCATGTATGGAAAATAGTATTTTTAATGTTTTAGATATACATTATTTTTTGGGATAATTTGTAATAACTTATATAAACAGAGCAGTCACATTTACTTGTTACATATGCAGGTTATGCTTCTTGTTTAGAAGGCTGTGCTTTAAGATTTCACTGTCACAGTGACAGTCTACCGCCAAAGTCTGATAAACTGAGAACTATGCACTCTGGGTGCTTGGGATTTTATCTAACCAGTTATCTAACCAGTTAGTTAGGGTGACTGAATGATTGCAATGGTATGTAGATTGAAGGAGAATCTATAAATCTGTAAATGTAACACAATATTGATAATACAATACAGAATGCATTAACAAGGTGGCAATACAACAGTGAACATTATAAAAACTCAAAATATATGCTCACTAAAAATACACTTTAGTTTCCTTTATTCTTTATCTGCTTATCTACCATTTTCATTTTAAAGAGGAACTTCTTCAGATTTTGCAACAGTAAAATCAGCTGCTACAAGTACTGTAGCGGCTGACTTTGAAAAAAAACCCAGCCCACAAAGCTCAGCGCTGTCTACATAGAACCGGAAGTCTTCACTACTGCGGCTGTGACTTCTTGACCACCCACAGCTAGCCTCCTACTGTGCATGTGGTAGATCCGCCAACTTGGGGAGACTGTCCTGAAACCTCCTGGGATATGTGACATACAGTATATCCCAGGAGGTGGCAAGGGTGGACTGAGGGTTACATGACAACCTCACCTAGGCAAGGAATGAGGAATTAGAAGCAAGGACCTGCTGAGAGGGGAAAGAGGGTTGGAATTATGGCATGTCCTAGATGTGATTGAAGGTCTGCTTTAAGAAACTTGTGTAAATCATGTTAAGAGTTCACAACATACAGTGCATCTAGTCAAACTGTCACAGTACTGTATCTGCTGCCTGCACATGCCCATGGACTAGGCTGGGCAGGCCTTATTACTGCCACCGGCTTGATGTGGATAGAATAGATGAGTAATTTTGCTATGTAGTACCACAATGTATTTCTACCAAATACTGGGAGCAAAAAACAAACAAAGGACAGTAAAGCCGAACTCCAGGGGCCCATAAATACACAGCTTGCAAAAGAATTGTAATTCTATTTAGCCCACCTTGTGATCCAGGTATCCCTGCCAGACAGAACAACAAGATCCTGGCAGAGCTCACTACAGCTGAGCAGTGCAGACTGGTCCAGAACCCACCCTTGCTTGTAGTTGGACAATAAAAGAGCAACCACACTCTTAGGTTATCCTTGTGTCTCCCCCTATAAAAATGTCCTCTGAAAGCACAGGACACTCTTGTTAGACCTCATACCCGGCACACTCCCAGACTACTGATTGGACAATAAGGTCCAATTTACACTTGCATTTGGGGCAGTCTCACAAATTGCTCCGTCAGATTCATGCAAACAGTTGTGGGTGGGAGGCGCTGTACAAAGGAATGGCAACTGACAGCACCCAAACAGTTTGTGTGCAAGTGCTGTTTGCATGAGTCTCACATTGGAATTAGTAAGACTGCCCCAAACACAAGTGTGAATGGTGGAGCAGAATCCCTTTGCTCACTCAGCTTTCATCTCCTGTCAGCATGTTCACTACCAGCGTAGATACACAGCAGCAAAGCCTGATTAGCTCCTATCATTCCCCCTCCTCTCTATCTCTCAATCTGATTGCTGCTGTGCAGGGTATGGCAGGAGGTTGATATTAAGACAGAATTACTTGTGCTAGTTCACTATAAAACACGTGTATTAGCTGTTTAAATACATAATACATAACTGAACAAATCTGTGTATTTTATACCTGCTTTGAACTGGAGAGCGTAATTCATTCCGGAATGTTATATGGTAAAACCTGTTAATGCAGAATCACCAACAACACAAAGCACTTACCAACACTTGTGATCTTCTGGCTGCCGAGGTCTTGCAGTAAAGCTCCAATGGCTGGATTCTGCCTGGAATATAACTCGTACCGATTGATTCCAATGTGAAACTTTAACCAGTTGGGATAGGAATCTACATGCGCTTCTCCAGTAGGCAAGAACTCCTCCTCATCGCTACCTTCATTTGCTACATTTTGCCTGTTGTGAAAGAGAAGGACAATGCTTAGGACTGGAATTCATAAGGAAGCCCTTGAAGACGTTCATTGCATGCAGCCCAGAGGCTTGTGATTTAATACTGATGACAAGGAGAACAATGAGCCATAGTATGCAATGTGTTACAAACTGGCTATTTAGAAGGAATCCTAGTTATAATCTAGCTGTGTTATACACCGTGAAAAGTGCTTTCTAGAAGGGTGCCTGCCTGCAGATAATACTACAGACTACCATGGAAAGAACCAACATCCAATTTAATAAAGAATTACACATAGGCAAACCTGTAATAACTTCAAATAACTAGGATAAATAGTTATTTTTAGACATGGAATGGACAGTACTGTACTGTTATCAGATTGCTCTGCTCACAGGTTTTCATGCACTATATGCAATGACAGTAAAGTCTTATCTTAAGGTTTTACTGTAAAGCTTATTTCTAGAATGCTTTCAAGATAGAATGTTTATGTATTCTTTTATTTGTTTGGATTTCTTCTGCATTCTTTACAAGCCAAAAACATGTTGGTAGGTTAACTGAACTCTAACCAAATTGGCCCTGTGTCTGTGTATGACTGAAGTAGAGATATTAGACTGCAAACTCCTTCAAGGGACGGATGCAAAAAGTTTTATTTATTGTGTAAAGTTCTGCGTAATATGTCAGCACTACATCAATATATGAAGTAAATAAATAATGTAAATCTGTCCACAACTGCCACCAATATCAGGTCGTGCAATAGTGCCGCCACCGAACAAGCTAATCTCAACAATAAACAGACAAGGTTGCCAATGTCCCTTACCAGAACTGTGCTGAGTGGAGCTCTATCTTTGGGTTTAAGCAGACAAGCCCTTTAACAAAGTCCCTGCAAGTCACTGGATACATAATGCCCTTCAGCTCTTCCTAGGAGTGTTTACAATTGGGGAATATTCACTACCGTTGTCCAACAGTCGTTCCTGATGTCCATTTTATTTTCCTGCTGCCAATTGCCAAACTCTAGCACCTATATAAGTATGGTTCTTAGAAAGTTTATCAACTACCACTAATGGCTTAAATGATTTCCCGTTAACGGCCACAAGTATGATGTTGAACTACCTATTGATGGTATCCAAAGACATTAGATGACAGTTTCTTTATGATCAGATATGGTAACAATCTAATGTGTATGAGCTACATAAACAAAACCTTGTCTGACCCTTATTGGTTACCCCCTGATGCACCTTCTTAGCTCTCTCCATATGGTTGCCTGAGGCTGCTATTAATGTTTTGAGAAGTGATGGTTTACAAGATGCATGTGGCCGGTTCGATCGTGTCTAAGTACCCTCTACTGTCCATGGACATTTTAGGTATAACAGAGTTCCTTATCCTACTTCTGCTGCCTCAAAAACTATTATCACAACCAGGAGTTTCGGATATATATCGAAACCATGATAGATCAGATGATCAGCAACAATACTCTAGCAAGGAAATGTGAGTTGACTATGTTTCTTTAGGAAGTGAAGATAATTAAAAAGAAAAACAAGGGCTTAAATTAAATACATGTGTATGTAGCAACTCTTTCAGAACGTACTGATTTATAGAAAACAAAATACTGCCCATAGCAACCAATGACATTTTTACTGTCAGTTTTCTATTGCAGGATGGAATACAATCCCCAACATAATCTTTCATCTGCCACTAAGTGCTCAGACAAATCTTTCAATAAATCTATGGGTTGCATATTTTAAAGCTGCTAAGTGAATTAAAACTCTGGCAATGTCTTCTATGGAGAAATAAATTGCAGCATCTCTAGGAAAAGATGTATGAGGTCTTTAATGGAGTAAATTTATACTGTAAGTCATTAAATTCAGAATATTGGAGAACAGGAGAACATTGAGTCTGCCTGTATTTCTACAATGAACTTGCATACTCTTTTAGTTACAGTACAAGTTTTGTTAGGAGTACAAATAACAGGATGATAACCCTCTACGTCAGAGTGTTATTCCGACCAAAATTTTAATTGTTAGTAGATGCTGAAGAGTGAAACCACCTGAGAATTTCTTCTATCTTTTGGGACTCAATTGGTAAGATCTTTGTTCTTGAGTTCTTCGATCTGCACACCAGCTGTGGCTATAACAAAGGAGGGGGGCTCTCATTCTACCTGTTAGATTGGTCATTTATTTTATGTTATGGATAATACAACAGGAGGTGCTGGAATACCCGAAGGTGGGTGAGAAAACCCAAAACTCCCAAGGTTGGGAAATTACAGAAAGGAGATGGAGTTGGAGTATCAACGACATATAAAAATCCAGGGGCTAACACAGCCCACCAGGCTCCATCTATCATTAAATATTACTTTTGGGTGGAAATGTATCACATACATGGAAACTGTTAAACATGCTAGATAGGATGACAAGTCACGGGCACACAGGCATCAACACAATTATCAAGATATCCTTCTCTCTAGCTAGCTATCAATAAATATTATAGCTGTCACAAAGATGCACTAAGATCCTTTAAACGTTGGATGGAACAAACTCCTCCTGTTTGAAAATACACAGATAGATAGATAGATAGATAGATAGATAGATAGATAGATAGATAGATAGATAGATAGATGGATAGATAGATAGATAGATAGATCAGTTTTAACATGTTGTGTTCATTTTTAAAATATGATCCCCGTCAAGACACACAAAACATATAGAAGTTTTCTGGATTACCTAACGTCGCAAACAGCGGTATAGGATTTAATTAAAAATTAACGCACCACCTGGCAATCTACCTATAAATAGGTCTTCCTTATTATCAGTGCTACAGGGGCCTGGGGCGCAATAGACACAGCCTCGTATGAGAAACAAAATGGTAAATATCTTCCTTTTACTATCATCTAATTCAAACCCAGAAACATTGAGTGATTGAATTAACCTCTGGGGCATGGCAGGTAAAAGCAATTAAGACCAATCAGTTCAAATGTTATTTTCAATTATGGTGCATCTATAATCCAAAAGCCATTAAATATAGATGCTGAAGTTCTAGGTGAATATGGAATACCGCCAGCCTAAGCTGATTTATCAGATAAGGTAACAGTCTGTTGTTGTGACATCAAAGGCTATTGTAAGCAGCGATCTGCTCCAGTCCACAGGGCAGCACTTGCAGCCTGTCATGGTCTAAACGGTTTATTTCATAGGCTGGGTCTGCCTGCCACTTTAATTAAGACCTGAATCCCGCAATTATCTCATTGCTCCATAGAAAAGTATAATGCGGCCGTTTCAGACAATACAATGTCACTGAGCTTGAAAGAGGGAGCTGTTGTACTACAGTCAGCTGAACCTGATGGTTTTATTATTGCTTGCTTTGTTTCTGTAATTGGTTTCCTTTTTTCCGAAGCGAAGGAAAGGGTTGCCTTAACCCTTGTGTTGCTAGCCGATGAAGATTAAGGGTTAAAAATTAAAGGAAGCACATGATTGTGTACTTTGGTTAAATATTAAAATAGCTGTGGCTAAAAAGTAGGCTATTATCAGGTCTGGCTAAGAGCTCATGTACCTGTTCCTTACCAAGAGGACAAAGAGGGTAAAGTTGACATTCCCCTTGCACAATTGCTTGTGTTTGCTCAGTTTACATTTTAAAAAACTGCATGTAGGGAGCATTGTTTAGTCGTACTCATGAAGATCCTCGGAGCGAGAGCTGAACCATCAAGAGCCCCCAGAGATTGACCTACTTACCTTTTCTGAATGAAGAAACAGGCACGTTCCCAGAATGCAAATGGTTTACATGTCACGTCAAGACATTCTAATGCAATACACTAACATATCTTACATCGGACTGATGTTTATTAATATTTTATGGGGAAAATCACATTTTTTGCCGCTTTCTTGATATGTCCAGATTTGAAGTGCTAGATTGATTCTAAAAAAACATTATAACATTATGATGACATTATAAGGTGGCTTTTATTTAAACATGGCAATGCAATGAGCAATGATATGCAGTAAGCAGGAGCAACCAATCAGAGAGGTAGTCATGCATCTTATCGCCACATGATGAAGATGAATAGAGTGCAAGCTTCCAAACAATCTGACAGTGTATGGAGTAAAATGATTGCAGCTTATTGCAAAATCATGTGATGGAAATGTTTGATCACTTTCCTGTTGTTCTCTGCTTATAATGCATAGGTGTAATAAGCCAGCCCGGCTGTTTATTGCCTAAGTGCAGGGCCAGCGTACACTTAACAGCTGATGTTCAAATCAGCTGACAAAGGGAACTGTCAAGCATCTGATCACCCCACAGCAAATAATTTCAAGCTCTTGTCTATCGGTACCTGAGCCGGGCTGGGCTATTGTGTGATGACCTGCAATGGGAACTTAACATCATTGCACTTTGCACCCTATGATAACCATAAATGTTTATATACTGCACCTTATCTAGAGTTAGAGTTCATATTTCATCTAATTAGATCATGATCATGGCTATACAAGTACAGCACACTCTAGTTTCATGCACATCAAAGAAAGTCAATCGTTTAAATCCACCAACTTACCAGTCCTGGTTCTCGGCAGCTTTGGGGTTAAATCTGATGTCACTGTTCACGTTAAACAAGACATCATCTTCGGTGAGCTCAGGAACAACGATTTTGTACAGAGGGTGCTGAAACAGAGCAGCCAACCTTGAGTGGCCAGCACCAGGCTGGGGTTTGTTTATATTCCCATCTTGGATCAGCTGCTTGTGGTTCATGTCTTTGACCGTGTCGCGGTTCTCCAGTTTCTTGAAGGACTCATTCTTGTCCATTATTCCAGTGATTTTTTCCAGCGAGTGCGAAGTGAGATTGGAGCTGGGGTCACTGCTGAAATCTTGTAAGATCCTCAGCGTGTGCTTATTAGGCCAACCCGATTCGGCCGTATTTTTGGGTCTCTGTTTCCCCCATCCCTGCGAGTCCTCATTGAGATTGTGCGCACAGGAACATCCTGCATCTCCGTCGCTTCTCCCTGCCCTCTTCTCCAGCTTTGGTAATAAATCGATCATAATATGCATTGTGCAAGCAATCAGAAACACCATCAAGATTACCACCCTGAACTTGCGCACTAAAATCAACTTCATTGTTGCTCACTTTCTTTTGGGCACGCACTTTTTTCCTTTTTAAATAAATTGGAATGTAAACTTAAAAGGGATGTTTGGAACACATCAAATGGGAATAGACGTAAAAGAGTCAGGAGTTTTGCTGAAGTCTTATTGCCATGGGGAAGAATGAGGGACGGGATGGATGGATCTGCCTAGCAGGAGTCACAGGAACGTACCGAAGCTGGAATAGGAAATTAATGCACGGGTTTATGAGATGAATGAAACAATCCGGAATGCTTGGCTGAATCATAGATCGCTTTGCTTGGCATCCTTAGTGAGCTGACCCCTTGATACAGCAGCAGCAGCGGAAAGACTATCCAATTCTGCAGATTCCCTGAAACCATTTGCTTTTTTAGCATGGAAGTTCTGGTCCAGATCTGGTCAAAGCGGGATAGGATCCAATGAGCTGCTGTCACCAGTCAGGTCTGTTTGATCCTGCGCCCAAGCAGCTCTGGCTGCTTGTGGACATTTCTGCAACACAAGCTAGAATTATTGCACAAAGAAGAGAGCAGAATAGAACGCTGAGCTTGCCTTGGCTGCCTGGCAATCATTTGATTCCTTGGTTCATGTCAGCTTGAAGGTATAGGAGGAGGGAGAGTGAGAGAGGCAGAGAAAAGGACAGAATGGAGGTGAAAGGGAGAAGGGAAGGTCTTTGGCAGGTGCAGCGTGAAGTCTCCTTTCAGCTGAAAGCTGTAGACTGGTTGAACTATCAATGCTGCAGCCCCTGCCTTCCTCCTGTGGGTGTGTTAAATATTATGAGCAAGCCACCGAGCCAGCCTACTACACGTCACACTTAGGAGATTGGCTAAATAAACGCTACAGTGATAGTAACAGGACAGAGCTAGACCAAAAGTAAATCTTTTTTTTTTTTCTTCTGTTTTTTTTTTCACAATGATTTTTTTGTTTTGTTCTGCAGCTCCAGTTAGGGCAAGGAGAGGGCGTCAGTTTCTCGAAGGTTTGCTAATAATCATTTCCCTGACAATGGTGAAGTTTCGCTGTCATTCCTGAGAGCAGATTTTGTATTTTTTTTTTGCTTCTTTCGCAGAACTTGACACATTGTCCTATTACCTGCGAGAAACTTTAGAGTCTCGTTCAGACGGGCGGCAGGCTTCACCGCACAACTAAAAAACGATTCACTGAGGAAGGGGGGAAGAGCAGTAGCTGTCTGACGTTTGAGGGGCAATACCTGAATGCTGTTTTTTGGGGGTTTTTTGTATCCCAAGTGGGATTTTCAATATTGAGAATGTGCAACTAAAACGCAGCGTAAATTGTGGGCGCTGTATAAATACCTATAATAAATAAACGGCGTGCCCATGCGTTTGCGTCATGGTCCTATTAACTGCAATGGTGCCTGCGCCACCTGCCAAATGCAGCACGCTGTTTAAAATTTGCCACAAAGCATTGTGGCAATTATGAACTCTGACAAGTAGAACCCTCCTAACCCTCTTGTCTTGAATTATATTGTAACTGTACTGACTCCCTATATTTTTTAAAGCAATGCACAAACTGTTGGCTCTATATAAATCCTGAATAATAATGATAATAAAAAATAATAACAATGGTGTAACTATTGAATACATAATAATAATACTAATAATAGTAATAAAAAAAATAATAACAATGGTGTAACTATTGAATACATTCAGAATAATAATAATAATAATAATGATGTGTGTAACTATTTATATACATTCATAATAATAATAATAACAATGTGTGTAACTATTGAATATATACATAATAAATATATTATTAAGAAGAAGAATATCAATAGCAGAGTTGTGCAGCCCATTGAACATTTGTATGTGAAATAAATCATAAGGGCCTGGCCACAGCTGTGCGGTGCGTTAATACACTGTAAAACATGTGCATCCCCGCAAGCACACGGCAAGGCATTAACCACAGTGCAATTCATTGCACTGCTATTTATTATGAATAGCACCCCAATGTACTAACACAACACACATGCGTTGTAACGCACCATAGCACGCACCAACCTGTGCGGTTGTAAAGATGCTGGCATGCAGTATCTGCGGCGGTTTCGGTTCTATTTAAAATAAATGGGCTTCTTAATATAACGCATGTAAAACACATGAAAATGCATGGGTCTTTCTAGGATCTATTAATCTGGGTTCACACCTGTACTATGTGACATCGCACATGCGTTTCAACATGCCCATTCAAAGAAGTGTGTGACTCTTTTTTTTCAATTGTGTTGCACAGCAATGTATTTTAAGAAGTTAGCATGCGTTGTGGTGTGACAACACAGGTATGATGGCTAGGTGCATTGGTTTCGAAATGGCTGACATGATGCAGGAATGCATGCGTTCCCACACTGCATATATTTCAACAGGGGCTTAAAGGAAACCAGTTACAGAGGCGGTCTCTGCTGCCCCCTCATTTCTGAAAATGCTAGTTAACTGGTTGTCATGTTGATCCTCTTGCTTTAATACTTTGAGTTGGCAAGACTGCAGATAAGAAACTCTGACTTTACTGATCTCTATACTTGTGTCACGGTGACTTTGAAAGTATTAAAGGGTAATTCCACCTTCAATGCCCTGTTCCATATACCACCAATATTTAAGGTGCCACCCTGCAGTCCCCCACCTTCAGCCTGCTCCCCCTCTTACCTAAACCACAGTGTTCTTCTCCCTAAAGCGCCCTGTAAATGTTTTAATGCAAAACGAACACACATGGCTCTGTTCGCACAGCCGCCTCATCCATTCACAGCATCTTTGAATGAAAAGACTACAAGTCTCATCTGCCACCGCAGCAGAGAGACATGCAGTTCTCAATGACACACAAGTGTGGTGATGTCACCGCGCTTGTAGCCCATTGATAAATTCCACCAGCCCCATAACAGAGGGAGCGTACCTCTGTACAGACAGGGACTGGGAGAATAGTGGGCAGAAAGCTGCGCTTTGCCCCCGTGATCCACTGATTGCATTTGCAATGCCTTGCGGACTTACATGTGAAAAATGACCAGAGGCACATGTTTTATCTTTCGATAATCTGTGTGCATTTATTTATTCATTTAAAAAGTTGGACTATGCCTTTAAAGCTACAGAGATAGCATAAACAGCCAGGCAACTAGCATTTTCAGAAGCAGACCAGCAATGACCGCCTCTATATGTCTATAATGAGAGATCTACTTTAGGAACATAGGAGAACTGCAAGTGATAAAATGAATGCATGCTGCATCGTCCAGCAGTATTTATACTGTAGCCCTTGTCTTTTCAGTGCCCCCCACCCAGCGGACAAGGTAAGTGGGCTGCCTGGCAGTGACCCATAGAAGCCAGTCACTCACAGTGGTACAAAATGGATCCTCATTGGTTGCTATGGGTTACTAAGCTTATGGATTAGCACTTACAGGTGAACTTCACTCTACCAACTTGAAATTAAATTACATGGGATCCAGCATTGTCTTCCTTGCAGCCAAAGTTATCTGCTCCCGCACCACCGGGGCCTACCCTATATGCCGCCTGAAGCGGTATCGTGCGTGGGGGGCTGGGGTGGATGCAGTGGTACATACGGCTGTGTTAGAGCCATGCTGTCATCAGCTCACTGTCCAGTCCCACCTAGCTCACTGCTGTCATTGGTTGCCAGGAGCTCGGCGGGACTCCAGCCAGAGCGTTCTGCTTAGCTCCCTGGCAACCGATGAGGTCAGCGAGCTGGCGGGGAAGGCAGACAGATCATCACAAGTTGCTAACAGGTCTTAGCAACCTGGGACACTGTGGCCAC